TTAAATTGTGAAAACTCTCTTTAAGCAGTTCACTTTTATGTATTAGCTTAAGTTACAAAGGAAAGAACCCACACTAGCAAAGATTCTGAATAAGTAACAAGGGAATGTTAGTAAGAACAATGAAAACTTTATTGAACAATGAAACACGATCACTTCACTTCTGTAAACTGTATTGCTGTTTATTGTATTGTAGTGATTTGTCTTTTGCATTGTAAATTGTGCAGATTGTCATTAAATATTTGCCCTCTGTGTAAATCTGTGTCAGTTTCATTCTTGGTGCCTCAACAGTTGAAACTCATTAATTTGTGAATCTTCTGTTATTAGCTGGCCTAACTGCTCTGCTTTGTTGGGTATCGTCAAGATATCATACCTGTCAGTTGAAAATGCCATTATCCACTTTCATATTGTATATACAACTTTGCAGGTGAAGGACAGAAAACAATAGGTGGCTAGAGCAAAAGGAACTTAACCTTTATTGATCAATGTTATACGTGAACACCACATACATCTGGTTAAATGAAAACGTTTCCAAATTTGTATGCTAACAGACGGGTAGCAAACATATGGTATGTCTGCATACCTCGGTTTTTCTTAAATCATTGGTCTAATAACGACAAAAAAAATGATAAAATATACATTAAAAAAATCCAGGTATTTAAATATCCAGGTATTATATATAAAGTGTTGGATATAATTATGGAAAAGTGAATAAAATAGGTATAAAACGTAAATATCATTGGATTTCTCCTAGATGAAAATGGACTGCATTAGGCCGTCAATCTACACAGGTAGTCATACTGTTCTCAGTAGTAGCGTGGTAAATATACTCATATCTCCCAGGAAAGAAATACCACATGACAAACGTGAAAGAATTAAAGATTTGGTTGTTGAATTCTACTCCATACAAATGATTGAGACTAAATTTCATACTTCAGTAAGAGCTTTATGTAATTCTGAAGAGGACATGTGAAATTAAAACTGCTGATAATAGAAATGGTCGAGATATAAAGCCTAAATTGTATAAAGGTGACATTATATAACTCAGGATATGCTCTTTATGTGATGCATGATAATCCAGCAGAGACTTTACCATTGACTTAGCTGTAAGTAATATATATATATATATATATATTTAATCTTACAAATATTAAGCATCTTTATGCCATAAACTTTTAGCTTAAATGTCGATAAAATATAATATAATACAAATCATTTTCACTCTTTTAAAATCTTCCAAAATGTTAAAGGTTATTTATATATTTAATCTAGCTCTGCCAAGCGAAGCGAGTCAAAACTGAGTATAAAAATTGGGGTACATATTAAACCATACCATGTGGTAAGTTTCCAATATCAAGTAAAATTTTCTGTCTGTTTGTGGACGTATCTTCTCCTAAGTGAGTTGACTGATCCAGACCAATTTACTAGTCCAAAATCACACCAAATTCTTATTAAACTTTCCCATATTTTGAAAAATATAACTATTTTATAGAATAACTCCTTTATAGTTACTGTAGAAGTTATTGCAATTGTTGAGTTTCAACAAAACTTGCAGCACAACACAATTCTACAAGTCAAAGATTGTAAATAAGATTTTCAGCAGTTTGACTTGTTTCCCATAATAACCAAAATGCACAATAATAAAATATCCAGCTACAATGTGGAAAATAAATATAATGCTGCTGTTTCAGTTTTCCGCTCTTTTTTTGATACACACCATTTAACTTCCGGTTTATACTATGGTTAGAATGGGCACTTAAGCCTGAATTCTACTGCTACACCTTCCCACTTCCATCCACTTCCCCTACCTTACAACAATTTTCTTGGAGAAAGAATACTACTGATAATCTTTGCAGAGATTTTGCTCATTTTTAGTCAATTTGTGCATGTTTTTGGTGTTTTCAAGAACAAAAATGGAGGATTGAAGTCTCCTTAAAATAACTTGCAAAACTTTAAAGATAAAACATTTAAAGTGAATTACAAGAGTTTCAAAAAGAAAACTAATTATGGACTGATAATTCACTTTTACTTGCAGACTTTTACGAGATCCGTCAGGCTTTAACCAAAGGCAGAGCTTGGTATGCAATTTGATGCTCAAAAAATTAGTCACTTTGCAGATCTACTAAATTCACAGTTGGTCTAGATTGAGCGAGATTTCAAAAACATCTATTCAAAATAACGGATGATTATGCGCATATAACTTTGGTATCTTTGCACGAAAAATCTAAACAAACAACCACACAAGCATTTTATGCCGTAAATATATATTTTAAAATATTCACACATTAATAAAAAATAACATTAATCTATCCAAATAATTATAAACATATAAAGATAGTTAAATGTTTAAATGTTTTATAACTACAATTGTTTCTGTTGTTTTCTGTAAAACTAAATTTTTGTGGGGTGACAATAGGGTTCAGTATATTCTTTTATTAACAGGGAAAACCCAGAGTTGTTGCCAGGTAGGAATAAAATTAGTGCACTTGCACCAGAGACAAATGAATTTGTCGGTCAGAACATCTTGAGACTGTTAGATATACACGACTATTTAAGTTTAATCGGAGTGTTAAATTTAGTTATTTTTAGAAAAGATAGTTTATGGCAAGTTTGTTAACGTCACAGTTTACGAATCATACGTTGTGTAGTTCAATTGTTGTGAATTGGCGATTGTTGTATTATAGCATCATGTTACTAGAACCTTCTAAGCTTTTCTCGTTGTTTTAATTGAGTATTATTACATCATAAATCTCGTAGTGTGTGGAATGTTCTAGGCCTCTGTCGGGCTATAAATATTTACACGTCCAAAATGTAGTTCAAGTTAGTTAGATGGATAGTAAGATAGATCTAGACTACATAATTCTTGAGTTTAGTCATAAAGAGCATATAGTGGCAATTTTAAAGTGAAATTATCACAGACTGTAGAGTAGAGAAGAATAAAAGTTGTCTTGTTAATTGTGTTTTATTATAATTGGACCAGCCTGTGTGGACTTTGACGAAGAGAGAATTATTGAAAGCAAATTAAACCATGGTAACTAACAATTATTGTGATGGCTTTAAAGTGAAATTATCACAGATTATATTGTAGGGAAGAATAATTATCTTGTCAAGTTGTGTTCTAAAGCAGTGTTTCTCAAATTTTTCCACTATCATTCACCTCCTATAAGTTTTCACAACAGCTCACTCACCCCTGTTCGAAAATAGACAAAAAAGTACAAAATTAAAATACAAAATTCTTTATTATGACTTAAATATATATCTCAAACTACAACTAGAATGAATACAACAAAAAATAAATGTATTTATCAAACTGCAACTACAATAAATAATAATAACTAATGACTTTTTTTTTGTTCTTGAATTTGTTGTATAATTGTTAATACACATTCACCCTGCAATTCACCCCTTCATTCTCATTCACCCTGAATCTGATATAATTAAGCCCTGGGTGAACCATTCACCCAGTTTATAAGCACTGTAAATCTAAAGTAACTGAACCAGCCTCTGTGGACATTGATAAAAAAAAGAGACAATTATTTAAAGCTCTGGATACAACTGAGATAACCAACAGTGTAACGAATATGTGTATATATGTTTGCCTTGTTTTAAAATATTATTTTAAAACAAGTGGACTATGTGCTGTTTGTTTATTGTTGTAATTTATCGCTAACAAATCACAGACACCTACTGTAAAGAAACTGGCCAATACGTAAAACTGGCAGAGACAAAACAATAATAATGTTACGTCTGTGTTCGTTTGTTAATTTTTCGTAGAAATTCTTTCCGAGAAACTTCAGCGATACAAGCCTTTTCTTAAATAAAACTAGTTTATTCTTTCTCAATTCAACTTTACAATACACTTAATTTCCACAGTCACTTTAACTTAACCACACGCTATAATTCACAACGATTCACGCACTTTACTTTGGGTTTGAACTCGATTATCTGTCTCTATCTCTTTGTCTGCTATTCAATTATCCCTAACTATCTATCTGCAACTATTCATCCCGTCACTTCTTTTGCCGGCTTATATATACAAAAATAGAGGGCGCATAGAGAAGACTAGGGTTGCCACGAACAGACAAGATCCTTCTAGAACCTCATGACGTGTTACTAGGGTCACGTGACTTCCGCTGTCGTAACAATAATATTTCTCCCAAAGTGTCGAGTACGGACGGCCCACTAGTCAATCATCTGTCAATGTGCGAGAATGTGGAACCGACATTCCGTGGTTCATGTTCTGTTACCCTAAAAGGAAAAAATAATAATCGAGCTTTGGGACCTAGGGTGCGTTATTAGAGGTGATGGTTGATGTTTAGTATTAAACACAAAGCTTCACAAAAGGCTATCTGTGCTCTGCCCACCATGGGTATCGAAACCCGGTTTCTAGCGGTAGAAGTCCACAGACGTGCCGCTGGGGGGCAAGAGATGACGGAAAAATCCTATAATTCGGTCTGATAATAGTAACACAAGAGTTAACGGTGAGTGGTTTTGACTAGATGCCTCATCTCTTATCTATCACTTCATAATTAGAGCCGACTAATGCAGTTAGATTTGTGCAGCATTGTGCAAATTCCAACAAACTGTCTATTCTGAAAGTTAATCTCTACTGTATAAATAATCCGCGGGTGAACAAAACGTATTTCGGAAAGAATCCTTCACAGTACTGTAAACATTCATCTCGAGAGTTTCTTTGGTTTTTATTGACGATGTTATCAGTGTTTGGCTCGCTTTGTTTAAGTTTTTCTTTTACTCAAATGTTGATTTGAATTTGACAAATTATGAAATATATGAGAAATTACTTGATTGAAGTAGTTGTTAAAAACGGTCGGTCGCATATTTTCGATTTGCACAGTGGCTTCAATTCCCTGACTGTGTATGACGTTTTGTTCTTTAACATAAAAACTCAATTTCTTTTGACTAAATAAGAGGTTCAGTTATCCCCTTTATTTCTTAAGTAAGTTACGCCTCAAATAAAACACAAAGCGTTTTTACAGTACACGAATTTTAACGTGTCTCAGCATACATATTTAGCCAACATCATTCCGTGAGAGTCTAGTGACACGAATACACTTTCTCTACCATAATGATTACCGCTTTCCCGATAGCAGTGGTCTTGACCTTGCTCGCGGCTGTCAAAACTCTGACTACAATGAGTGTGGGAACGTGGGAGAGACGCTTTTCTCATGCAGGATGGTTTCATGCTCGAGTGATCCTACTTAAATGCCGAAGCATATTATTAAGAGCTTAAGTTCCCATGGATGTTGGATGAATACAAGTAGCTCCTACAGGAGAAACTAAAAACCCTACACTCCGTTTTACCCAGTTGGTTAAGGGAATGCTTGATGAGAGGCTGAACTTTTTCTGGTGTGAAGGCTGAAGTCGAACGAAAAATGCTTGCCGAAAATCTCTGTTCGAAATATTTCGAAAACCGGAAAGTAAGATTATCTGTTTTTCATAATTCTATATAATATTACTATTAGAAAAGGTTAATCTGTATTTAGCTTTTTTTTTCGATATTGAAATAGTTTTAAATTTTATTTCCAGCAAACTCGCAAAATTTTAAAAACCTCATTATTGGCTAATTATCAAAAATAAGTTTACATGATCCAATTTGTTTTTAAGTGTAGACGTTTTATATTAATGAGTTAAGTTTCAACTTGACTGACGTTTTAAATTATGAAAAAAAACCAAAAAAAACGTGTATTTGCACGAAAGAACAGTAAAATATTATAACAAAAAATATTTTGTGGCTGAGATCAGTCGTAACTCCTCAAGTCACCTCGTAAAATTTAAAGTTAAACACAGCAGTGATTGTTTGCAAGTTGTATTATTTTCAGCCTCCCTGTTGTAACTAAATTATAATTTATGCGTATAAGTTTATACTTAGAACTTGTTTTAATTTAAAGTTTTCTAAGATGTGTAACACTTTGGAATGAAAAAGGCACGAGCTCAAGATTAATTGGATATTTCAACAGTGGTGACAATGGTATATAACACGTGTGTATAGTTGGCTTTTCTATTATTATTAACTCTATTTCTAGTTACTTTACCTTCGCGAAAATACGATACAACACGGACATATAATTCTACTTTCACACTATTAGTGGATCCTCAGCCAATAACGAACAATTTTATGTTAAGTCAACTTTCTGTCAATTTTTCACTACAACTTACAAGTTAGCCTACTAATCGAATACTGTACTTGATATTAATAAAGTGAAAAGTTTTTTTTATAGAAATCTGTGTCAATACAGTAATAACAAGGTGGTTCATTGTTGGCTGAAGAGCAATTCGAATGTTACGAAAGGCCACCATTATTGAAATAAACACTTCGTCTTGAGCTCGTGCCTCTATATTTTATTATGTGTATGTATGTATGTATATTTTTCACACCATCGATACCATAACTAAAAAAAATGTAATAATACCTCAACTGTCGGCCCTGTTTAAAATTAAATATACCTTCTATTTATGTGTTTATTTCAACTTGTTATTTCCACAACTACATAACTGAAAATATCCCGGCATTATAATATTAGTCTTCTAAATTCTAGGAGTTATCTACTTCACTCATTAGCTCGGGCTTCACTATATCACATATTAGCCTTAAACTTTGCCTTTACCTCAACGTACTATACCTTTCACGACGAGTAACAAGAAGGCAGGGTGAACGAATACTATCAATTATACAACAAATTCAAAGAGCAAAAAAAGTTATTAGTTATTATTATTTATTCTAGTTGTAGTTTGATATATACATTTTTTGTTAATTTTATGTCGTATTCATTGTAGTTGTAGTTTGATGTATATTTAAGTCATATTAAATAATTCTGCATTTTAATTTAGTACTTTTTTGTCTATTTACGAACTGGGGTGAGTGAGCTGTTGTGAAAAACTTTTAGGAGTGAATGATATTGGAAAAGGTTGAGAAGCACTGCACTAGACAATCATATTGCGTGTACGCTATAATCCAAGGCATTGCGTTGACTACGCACTTTTTTATTTATTCATCCCTACCGTTGAATTCTTTCAAAGGGCATCTGCGTTTTTTTTTTATACAAATCTCCAACCTGTCATTTTTTGAGGGATCGGGTAGCTAGTTATAATATATTTTTGGTTTTAGATCTTTTATTACTAAAGCTTCTCTGATTTTTCTTTTATTAAAATTACTTTCATTTTGTATAATTTTAAAATTATTATTCTTAAGCTTACTTTTGTAACGCGTACAATGCTGATGAGTGTGTGTGTGTGGTCTGGTTTGTTCCTTACTTCTGTTGATATACAAAAAAAATCACTTTACAATTATGTTCATGAATCCATTATATTCGTACTGTTGCTGTGATAAAGCCGAAGTTAATTTTGAACTCTGATCGACCCGACAGTTTTCCATTTGATGAGCTTCTCAGCCACGCTTTTGTTTCTGTTTACAGGTGTAGAAGTATATTTTCAGCCACATAGTTTATAGCTATAATATGGGCTGATATTTATTTTAAAATGTTAAAGCGACTGGGGGAACAGCGCTTATATTCAATGAAAGAGAAAATTGTGAGTGAATTATCCAGACTACTTAAACAGTTCCAATTACATTTTTTTTTGTTAACTTACTACTTCTACATGTTAAATTTCTGAAGTCAACATTCTGTAGTTTTTATTGATCTTATTGTTCATGGCAGTAGAGTGTTGTGATGATTATTAGAGGGTATTCAGAATTTTCAACTTCTTAACTTAGCACCAAAATACATTTTTTTTCATTCCTAATTATTAACAAACGTTGCGATCAGTGAGACCTTTCAAGCGCCCCACGACATTCCTTCACACTCCTGGCTCCCGAACCTTACCATCTAGCTTTTTTTGTTCACATTAGTTTAGTCAGAGTGATTTTCGTTCAGACAAAACCTTTTACCCGCTTTTATGGCAAGACCTTAAAATATCATGTTTTGAAATAATATTGAGAATGTTAAACTTTTATTTTTTTCTTTACTTTTTCTCCTTTTCACAGAGAGCTCACAAACTGTTCAAAAGAAAGAATATTATGTTATAATTATGTTTAAGTGACTTTCTTATATTGAAGCAGCCCCCCCCCCAAAAAAAAACAACAACAACAACAACAACATAAATCTCGGAGCTATTAATTTGAGTAAATAAAAGAGTTGGGAAAAAGCATCAGTAGAAAAGAAAAACTAATTCACTAGAGAATAACACATTGTTACAAAATTAAGCTATTTTTCAAGATCATTAACAATATCGATAAAAAATTCTAACCACATTTCGTGAACTAACTCGTTTTCCTGATCAAGGAAAGCTTTTTATGTAGTGGTTAGACCACGAGGTTACATCTCATGTGACTACCTATTACCACAAATCTGCATAATTTTTCACAACATTAATATCTGTACGTCACCGCTAGGGGAAGCTGGTGTCAGTTTTATAATAAATACATACATACATACTCCAAATCAACGTGCTCCAGCTAAAATTTCATAGTTGAACTGAACGATAGAAGGAGTAATAAATAAACGGTAAACCATAACAAAATAAAAATAGAATTCGCTATCTGACAACTGTACTGAAAGAATATTAATATTATCATTGTAAGTTATTTTTGAAGATTCCACACTTTTAAAAGGTGGAATTAATTCATCGTACAAGAACTTCTGTAAATGTATTTGTTCGATTCACATAAACACGTGACTTTTTGTATCATGGATTAATCGTTCCAGAACACATTAGAGGAGGTAATAAATGAAACTAGAATTATGATTTGGGGAGGATGATCTGATCATTAAACTTTAGAAATTCGTTTTCTTGCAACTTAGAGAACTCTGTTTTATGCATGTTATGATCGGTGGCGTAACAACCTTTCATTGTGGTTCAGAATTGTTTGTCTTTGGGACGCTAACATTTGTAAGTCGTATTTTATAGCAGCATTGGACCGTAGTACTAGTATATGATAAAAAAAAAGAGTAACAACTCGATAACGTGGGTTTATTTCGTTAAAATGCTGGATTCGGTGTTTGTTACGGCAGTTTGTAATATGTCAAACGCAGAATATAGGAGATGAGTTCC